CTCCCTTCTTCGGAATCTGGAGGCTCCCCTTCCGCTACAGCCGCTACGCTTCTCCCAAATTTAGAGTACTGGGAGCTGCGCTCAGAATGGGTCGACCTCGCGGCCTTCCTCCAAGAGCCTTGCGTCCGCCGGTTCCTCGTGTCCCTCCCTCGACTCAAAGCGCTTCGCTTTTCCGCCGACGTAGCAGTCCATTCGAGGGAGGGTGTTGCACAAACGTTCGAGAGTGTATTGGGGCTGGAGTTCATTGAGGTGAGATTGGGGAGGAAGAGAGAGGTTATCATAAGGTATTACCGAGGCGAAGAGAAGCCTAGACGAGTGCAATGGCGACGTGGAGAAGGAGCAGAGTGGTGCCAGACATGGGAACACGATGCCTCCGCAACATAGCACCTTCCTCCTCCGCCGTACATTATGCATTATTAATAAATAACGAGCAATATTAATACAGTCCGAGCACCTGCGCAGTTTCCAAGCACAATCACTATAGGTAGTACCAAAACGCCAAAACATATCGCGTCCAAAAATTGATGGCATCTCCGTGGCTTGAACACGGGACCTTCAGATCTTCAGTCTGCTGCTCTCCCAGCTGAGCTAAGACGCCTGTTGAAGTCTGTTGCAAAGTTGCTCATACGATCTGCCTCATAATTTCAGAAATATGAACAGCAGCAAAAATACATAATCTATCTATTTCGAAATTCACAATTACTGATTTTCTCAGTCCAAATTATAGAGTTAAGGCTAGCAGGATGTTGGTGTGGGTGTCTGGTATGCATATGTGCATCAACATATCAACGCTTCACGGCCTGACGAAGAAGGCGATGACTATCATAACCCCAGGCAGCGCGACCATCGACCAGAACGACGCCGCATACCCTTCAAACCGTGATATCGGGTCATTGGCGCGTCCAGAGTTCACGCCCTCCGTGATTGACGTCACAACTAATCATACACCATGCCTAGTCAGCCAAACCTTCCCGACACGATAACCATGCGATAACTCACTAGCAAACCCAAGCGTCGAGCCAACCTGGTACGCCGTATACGTCACCGCCCCCACAACACCCTCCTCCCCCTTCCGCGCGCCGCCCATCACCACCGCCGTGCACGCGACGTACCCCGCCGCGAGCCCGAGCATGCCTACGACCATCCCGGGGAAGACATACGGCCAGTACTTCTCCCGGGTGTCCGCGAGCGCGAAGAGGACGGAGCCGACGGCCATTAGGACCTGGCTGCCGACGAGGATGTAGTTCGGGGGGAGCTTGGGGACGAAGCGCCCGGAGAGGTAGGAGGCGATCCCGCCTGCGACGCCCATTGGGATGCAGCGCACGGCGGCGATGAGGGCGGAGTCGCCCCAGAGGTTCTGCGGAGTGTGTGAGCAGTTGGAAGTGGGAGTCGAGATGGGGAGGTTGAGGGGAGGTGTGGTGGAGAGAGGAAGTGGGAGCAGACGGGTGTACGCACCATGAACACACTGACGAGCTGGAGCTCGCAGCTGAGGCACCACCAGTACGGGCTCCACGCGTAGAAGAAGAGCGGGATGAAGTTCTTGTTCGTCCACGTCTTTGGCGGTAGAGCCGGGTTTGAAACGTATTGCTCAATGCCGAAGAAGGCACCGACGACGAATACGGAGAGGACGAGCGTTGTTATTACCTGTGGCGAGCCCCAACCTACAAACGTGACGAACAAAATACGAATGAATATAGTCGTTGTCTCTACAGGTTGTAGCGAACACGCACCGACTTCTGCGCCGTCAGAGATGGCATAGACGAAGAGTATGAGGCCTGCAGTGAGGGTTAACACCCCCGGTATATCGATCGAGCGACGCTCGGATTTTGGTGGCGCCTTATGCGGAGGCAAAAGGAACCACCCCGCAATAGCCATGGGAATGACGAGAATGGCCACTAGGTAATGCACTGTCCAAGATCAAATTACACAGTAAGTATGAGCGCTCGGCGGTAATGATACGTAGCCAGGTAGACACGCACCCCAACGCCAAGAAGTACGTGCTGTGAGGACGCCGCCTATAACGAAACCTGCGACATTGCCCACTGTTCCAGCGATAGCATACGCTGCATATGCACCGCTGCGTTCGACGGGATCCGTGAACGTTATCCGTATCATTGCGATCGCCGAGGGCACATTCATCGCTGCGCCTATCAATAATCAAACCGCAGCATGAGCCACATAGCAAGAGTCAAGAGCAAAATATATAACACGTACCTATCCCTTGCAATGCCCTAAACACGATGGCCATAATCGGGTGGACGCTCGCAGCTACCGGGATGCTGAACAAGCCCAAAAAGGCGAAGCCCAGACAGAATATCGGTTTCGGGTGGTATATATCGGAAAGGGTGCCGGATATCAGCATGAAGGAGGCGAAGGTGAGGGTGTACGCTGAGAGTATCCATTGCAGGGCTCCTGGCGTGAAGTTGAGATCCGCGCCGAGCTGAGAGATGGTTTAGTGGTGGAACGGGGATGGAATTGTTACGAGTATTTAAGCTACTGACCGATGGCAAGGAGACAATGACAGCGTTCGCGTTGAAGAGGTCGAAGAATTGAGCAGAGCAGAAGACGCCCAGAATGATGATTTTACGGAGTTTGGAGAGCGAGACTTGTTCGTCAGCAGGATCGGCGAGGGTTTCGATATCAGAGGAGGAGGGCGAGGAGGAGGCCTTTTCCTTCGACGCTCTCTCAACTTCTCCTTCGCTTCCGCCTTCTGTGCTCGAGCTCCTACTAAGGCTCAGTGCACTTTGAGTAGCCTCGTCGATGGAGGAAGTCGAAAAGGGGGCTGTCGACATCGCGGGGTAATTTCGAGGAACCTGCGAGCTCGAGATTGTAGCGACGGTTCTTATACATCGCTACATGCAATTGATGCGGGATGAAGTGGGTTGGAACTTGGCAATGCGTCGCGATCGAGAAATGCGACATCCATATTTGACCATCACCACCTCGGCGGAGTCTATAACGCTTCGCGGCTGAGTCGCACTGAGACGCTGGCTTGAACATCTGGGGTTCCAGTCGTGCTGGCCTTGTGCATAGCGCCTTGGATATAGATTGACCCTCGACGACTCGAACACTCGAACTTCAAGAGAGTTAGAGCTAGTTACCTTCGAGTTCGATATGGCAAGCCACTGGCTGGCGCCAGCAGCATATTCGGATCCAGCATCAATGTCGCATAGTAAGCGAGACCGACGTCGACGGAAAAAATAGCCTTCGAATTTCGCGAGTTCTACTCAGCCTTGTAACCGACGGCAAACTTGCAAGAGCACTCGACATGCTGTCAAATCGACGGCCAGTTATTGAACAAGACTTACCACGGTCTGTTCTTCCTTGGTACGTCGACCGTGATGATCGGGCTCTGAGATCTGACTTCTGGACGAATAGTTTGACGAGAACTAGAAGGCATGAGTGGGTAACGCTGGCGACTTGCTACATACCCCCAAAATCATACTTTCAACGTACGGTGATTGTTGTCCTCGAAAGACGGAATCACCCCGATTTGCCGTCAGACTCGCGTCATTTGGCTCCATTGCAGGCTGGAGCTCTGATGCGACATCCGTGCCAGCAATCGATTTCAACTCCGCATCCGCGTTCTATGCAGGCCGAAATACGGGTCTTTCAACCGTGTCGACGACATAGAAGCCTGCAAGCGAATTAGGGTGTTGGGGCCTTCATGCGTGCTTCGTCTATAGACAGGTGGAGAGAACACCATCCTCGATTGGCGGAACTTCCTAGAAGTTCGCTTAGGATGTCCTGAAGTCTCTTCTAGGACTCCTCCGCGACATTCGGCGCAAGCTAAAGTAGCCGAAGAGACCTAGCTGTTACACGTGAGCTGCGAACGTCTGAAGAATTGCCGAGCGATCTGGTCGTCCACAAGGCTCATGGCCAGTCGAAACTGCTCAAAAGTTGATTCCTGAGCGGGAGTTTGCCGTAGATGCAGATGCTGGATATCCAACAAGCGAACAGTAGGAGCAGCTTGGGCAATTCGCTGTCATTCGGACTCGGCATGCAAAATAGAGAGGTGGCGGGCGCTTGAGTATTTGCTTGTAAACTTGGGGCGCGCAATGCACAGTGGAGTATCCCTCACGTTCGGGGTCGGCTGTGGTGTAGTTTAGGATGTCTGCCATAGAGAACGGCCCGGATGCCGAAGGACCATCGATTATTGGCGAACACAAGGACTTCATTTCCCAGTTCCCCCAGCTTCACCGCGGCAGGACGGCGCATAACACTTGTTCAAAGCTCTTGGGAGTGTGTTTTGTTCCCAGGGGTGCTGCTCGTTTCGAGTTCCTAGAATCTTAGTAAATGAATGAAGAAATTGAGGCGTTTGGGTCGACGCGATTGTCCGAGGTCGGCCGTAGAAATAGTGAGGACATATGTGAAGGCTGGCAGGATTTCTATCCACTGAGAATGCGAGAATCGATAACCGCCAATAGTTTGAGCAGCCATTCCTTCGCGGTAGAGACCATGCGTAGCGCCTGCAGTGTTCGCTTTAGTCAGTCCGGATGCCTGAATGCCAAATTGGATCATACCCAAGGGTAAGTATCATTGCGAATGCAAGCTGGTTGCGCAGGAGAATGGACTAGGCCTGGCTACGGTCCTTCAGACTTCAGCGTTGAAGTTACCATATCAGATATTGACCTGGATGAAATATAAAAAACACATCTCTTATCTATCTCTCTGGTAGATGCGAAGCAATCAGAGAGGCCTATGTATCAAATACGGTGTCGCCCGGGTGGGTAGATTATCCAGTTTGCACGCACTCGCGATTGTTAGTGGCGATTATGGAAAGAATTCGAGGTGTGCTCTACACAGACCCATTCATGAGCATCACACTGGCTGGTAACATCACCGTATTAGTATTCCAAACAGAGTGCGACAGGGAAGTAGTAGTCCACGGCCAGATGATGGGCCATTCAATCAGGTACTTCAACTTCAGGCAGTTTGCGGAGCTAGCCGGGGATGGTCCACCGACACCGCACATGACCACTGTGCGAAATAATTTCATCGGCGAGATGGCCGAGCGGTCCAAGGCGCCAGACTAAGGTACATAGACCAGCTCATGAGATGAGCGACCAATCTGGTCTCTTCGGGGGCGCGAGTTCGAATCTCGCTCTCGTCAAATCTTTTTGCTGTTTCATTGTACAAGATCTCCAAGGGGATTCACAACACTTCTATTTGGTTTCGTAGATGCCTTCAGCTACCGTCCGAAGCCCGCGTCTCTTCTTTGCTCACCAGTGGAAATTCCCAACCCCCGAAGCGTTGGACCTGGTATGTTTTTCACGCAGACCTTGTTGGTGTTTCACCTACCCAGAGTCGTACAGAAAAGGTACACTGTTCAACGTGCTCGTGGTGTTCCGTCGATCCCAGGAGCGCTAGTGTTCTCTTTCTTCGATTCAGAAAGACCATACCATTGATTCGAGATGGCATGAAAGTGCACGTCAACTAACAACTATAGTACTTCACAAATACTGGCCTGAGATTGACATCCCAAACTTTGGTCTCCGAATGACCAGGAACCGAGGTCGCCTTGATAACTCACGCCAGTATACTGAAGATGATTCTGCTGCAGCATCTCGGCAGACCAGCCACTGCAGGCATCGTTTTGAATGCGATCCAAGGTCTGTCATCACGCGCGGAAAGTCTCGCATATCAGGGACTTATCCAGCCGTCTCAGTTTGATTAGTCGCATCCTCCAACGAATAGACGCCCGGGCGAATGCCTTTGTCCAGCGTATGTTCTGAATTCTTACTGCAATCTCACTGCGTCCGTTCGGGGCGAACCTCCGACGAGAAGCGCTGTGAGCCCGAGGCTTGCACATATTCCGAACTCGTCGGCTTCCCATGACCTCGAATATTTGGCGCTGCGCAGGACTACAAAATTCATGTAAGTATACCTCGTATCCCCTGCACCCCACTGTCGATAACCTCGGCGCCACGCCCGTCACGTCCATGTCCAAGATCAACGCCCTTCCCCGCGAACTCTTGACTGACATCTTCGAATATGCCGTGTCTCCCAGGCCGAGTGAGTGGGACATCTTGTGGGATTCCACCCCAGTTCTGTCCAGGACACTCTCCCTCGCTCGTGTTTGCCTTGAATGGCATGCGATCGTGATTACCACGCCTTCATTGTGGACGATCATCAACGGCCATCCGACCCCATCCACTCTCCTTCGCGCATGGAAATTCTCCTTCGAGTCCAATGCACCTCTTTGTATCTGCTTGAATCCCTTCTTGAAATCACCGAGAGCAAGACACGAGTACCATGACGCCGTGAAGGGTTTCTGTGCCCAGATCCATCGCATCGCATTTCTCGATGTCCATATTCACGCCCACGATCTCGCTGCTTTCTTTCACCGTCTCTCCGAGCTTGGAGATGCCCCTCTCCTCGAATATTTAAGAATCAAGCCGTCTTACCCGACGACATATGTGATTCCGGAAAACATATTCGGCAGTCGACCCCTCCCTCCATTGCGATACATCGAACTCGAATTTTGCACGATTTCGTGGACCTCGCCGCTGCTACAAGGCCCCAATCTATCCACATTGAAGCTCGGTTATCAGCCACGTCTGTCCTACACGCTCATGCGCGACGTCTTCCAGGACATGCAGGCTCTCGAGGTGCTATCCCTGACGCATTGCTTACCCACCCCACAGCCTGAACAGATCCTCGACGGTGCCATCTATTTACCAAGGCTAAAATCTCTTGAGCTTCTAGAAGACGATATGGAGTCGTGCGAGAGCTTCCTACGAACTGCAAACTGCGCACCGACTAGATTTCGAATGATCGCCAATCCCCGGAGCTCGAATGGCCGCATTTCCCAGTTTTTCAATGTACTTGGGCGGAGGGTGTCGTCACGTAAGGCAATCAAGAAACTGAAGATAGACGAAGATTGGGGGCTTCAACTCGAAGGGTGGACATCCTCATCTTCGGCTGCCCAACCCAACTTCACCGTCGCTATCCCTTCATCATCATCAAGGCACGGACGAATAATCGCCACCGCCCTCACCAAGCTCCCCCTCGCCGCTCTTCGCACTCTGCACTTCTACGCTTCCGTTGTGTCCTTAGACGTAGCCGCTTCGTCAAGGCACTTCCCGAACTTGACAACGGTGGAGCTGTCCAGACGGTCGACTCTGCCTCTGTGCCACGTATTCTCGCAGCATTTGGCCAGTGGAGTCATACCGTTCTGGGGCGCGACGGAGGTAGGAATATGGAGGACGTCGAGGAGAAGGGAATGGGGTCAGCTTGCAGTGAACGTGGAGCTATTGAAGGATGCGAGAACAGCAGGTGGACGGCCGATCCTTTTCATCGAGAGGGGGAATGATCCTCCGCGACTTCGTCGGGTGTAAATTCTCCGTTGCATCTGTCTTGACAAACTTTCTCTCAGTTGTTGTAGACAGGCCTTATCACTGTACACGGATCCGAAGCACATCCATTAACCTGCCTCCTGCATGTGTGTCGGTCTTGCGTCTTGATCGGCTTCCAATCTGATCCATCCTTTGGTATTCATGCTCAAAGTTCACACAGCCGCCCTCGATATACTCACCTTCAAAATTATTCATGGATAAATTCCCTATTGTTTGGATTGCATCGGCCAGCGACTTTTACTACCGCCGATACGCAAATTAGATTCCGTGTGCACGTACCTAGCACGTACCACAATATACCGCCTCTTGCCGTATATTCTTGTGCCCGAGTCACAGTTTTGCTACGGGAGCCATGTTGATTGATCAAATCCAAAAGGCAGCGCTCATGCCGGATCGAATCATCGCGCACCAACAACGTATCAATCACGCACAAAACCCCATCTCAACTATTTCCCGAACAATGAAGAGAGGCTGGGGCATCCTCCTCGTCACAGCCAGCGTATCCTACGTGGACGTCGGGCGCATCAGATGGATAGCGTGGCTAAGGAGTATACCGCATGCTCGTGCACGCTATATAAATAAAACGTTCGAGCACGGGGTCAAGCAACCACCTTCCATCGTTCCACCGTCCACACCCCAAAGCTTCCTTGTATTCTACCCATCCACGTTCATCCGCTTGCTGTACTCGAAAAGCCGGCGATGATTACATTCGCTACAGCACACAATTTCCTCCTAGGTACGTGTATCCCCGGCACCGAGTTAGTACATATTTGATTTCACCGTTGATCTAGGTTGTGTTAATGGGTTTGCCATTTTTGTTGTCGTCGGAGAAGTGTATGCCATCAGAATCATGGCCGTAGCTGGGACTGCACCAGTGATCCCTAGCATGGGCCTCGCTACCGCCCTATTTACCGTCATGTCCATACCTGCTATGTATGTGCCTAAACCAACCTCGTCATTGACATCACTCATTTACGCGATTCCGTTCCGAAATTCTCTCATTTCTAGGTTAGCTTCACCGCCAAACTCTTTCATGAAGACGGTCGTATTCGAGACTCTGGCTTTGTACGTACCAGTAACGTCAATTCGGATCATGACAAGTCCTTATCTCCCTTCTCAAGCTATTCTCTGGGTGCTCTGGCTGGTGACTGCTTCCCTTACACCCGGCATGATGAAAATACTGGGCGCGGACGCGCGTGACTCCCACATCGGTACACCGTCTTTCTCGCACTGATCCAGTATTAGCTCACGCATTGCCCAGGTGGCTGGAGGATTTTGTGTGATATTGAGCCAGATTCCTACAGAAACTGTATTGCCCGTGCGTGTCCCTTAAATAAATGTCTCTTTTCCCCGACCCCCTCTCTCTGTAGTAGTCGTTCTGCGTGCTTGACTATGTTCTCTGTTAATTATGCTAACATCGTCCTCCTTTGGTTTAGTCATGTTTTATATCGTCTTCCTCTCCGTACTCACGGTGAAGGCCATCATCGAAGGCCATCCCAACGTGTGGATGGCATCGTCTTTGGATATTTTTACCTACCCCGATGGCGAGGACACGGATTCGTCCCCCAAGGCTGCTGGCGATTGGATCGGGAACAAGGCAACCACCGCCTTGAGTGTCCCCTGATGTCTCCCTCTCGAGTCCCAGGCACCCCTTGCGATATCTCAATTCAGAACACCGTCCTACTCCAATCACAGTCGGTAATCAATTCAAGGCCAAGACAACTTCGAGCGCTTCCATAATAAAATTTGATAAACTTTCATTTTGATACCCTGGGAGACGTTGTCATTGGAGATTAGCAAACTGCGACATACGGCCTTCGTCGCCTCAAGTCTTAATGAGCTAACGCTCACGTATTCCATGGGACTTGGAACTACAACAATCGGCGAATGAGCGGGCCCAATTGTCCCCAGGTTGTTTTTACGGACCAGGGGATGGGGGCATGCCATTCTATACACCAGATATACTTAGCCATCTGAGAGTCGTCAAGTTCGGTACAAAGTAGTTGGTATCCGAATCAATGTACCGTTCAATCTACTTGTCAAAGTATCACCCCGAAACTTAAGATCTGGAGCTTGATCATACAGCATCTGGACCTGGGTAACGGAAGTATCTGGCGTGGGGCGTGCTGCCAGGATTCACATAATACAAAGTTCGAAGACATGACATCACTGGGGAGAACCTTGAGTCTCAGGTTAGGAAATACCAAAGGGAGAAACACATCAGGAGATTGCCGTCCTACTGACTCATTCCGCTGCGTAGGTTTGACCATTCCCATGCTTCTTCGACTTGAGCTGGTGCCGCTTGAGGTCTGACTTGGTCGTGAAGGCTGAGCCGCATTCACAACCAAATGGCCTCTCATCGTTATGGGCTCCGAGGTGGCCTTGAAGTCAAGGGATAGGCAGATAAGTCAATGTCACCAATTCAACGGTATGCACGACCCACGGATATAATTATGCCTCGCCGTGAAACCCCTGTCGCAATATTGACAGAAGAATCTGTGGGGATTGACACGTCTCTTTTCAGCAGCGTCGGACACGGCATCCGTGGCCAGTTGCCTCGTGGCGGACGGCGAAGTTGTAGAAGGTCCAGACTCCGGGCTTCCATGCTGAACAAACGGCACTACCGTAATGATACATTCAACGAGTGCCTGGAAAAGGCAGGAAGAAACTTACAACTACTGATCCATTGTCCATCGACCGGAGGACGGTTATCGTTACTAACCGGAGGATTGTAGATGTCTGGATGATAGTTCTG